AGTGTTGGGCTGGGGATATAGCTCAGTTGGTAGAGTGTTTGCCTTGCATGCACAAGGCCCTAGGTTCAATCCCCAGCACCAAAAACAAACAAAAAGAAAGGGTGAAGTGAGCCAGATGCAATGACACACACCTGTGATCGCAACAACTCAGGAGAATGGCAAGTTCAAAGCCAGCTGGCAACTTAGCAAGGCCCTAGATAACTTAGCAAGATTCTGCCTTAAAATAAAAAAATAAAAAGGAGGGATGGGGTTGTGGCTTAGTGGTAGAGCACTTGCCTACCATGTGTGAGGCACTAGGTTCAATCCCCAGCACCACATAGAAATAAATAAATTAAAGATATTATGTCCATCTACAACTTAAAAAAATTTTAAATAAGAGGCTGGGGATGTGGCTAAACAGTCATGTACCGGGCTCAATCCCCAGTACCAAAAAAGAAAGAAAAGTCTGAAGCATCAGTTTTGTTGGTTTAATCATTCTGTAATCAGCAAACCCTCAGCCACGAACCATTTCCCAAATTCAGTAACCACAATGATCCTATGCCTATCCATTTCCAGGGGCAGTGGTACAGGGCCAGACAGGACATCCTATCATGCAACTCCATAAAAAAATGCTTATAATTCCAGCGACATGGGAGGCTGAGGCAGGAGGATTGTGAATTGAAGGCCAGCCTCAGCAATTTAGCGAGGCCCTAAGCAACTTAGCAAGACCCTATCTCTAAATAAAAACTTTTTTAAAATATATTATTTTTTAAAAGGCTGGGGATATGTCCCAGTGGTTTAATACTTATAAGTCTAAAAAGACAGCTCTCATTAACCTTAACTGACTGTCAAGATAAGCAAGTGTTTTAGGAGTATGGACTCTGTAGCCAAATTACCTGCATCTTCATCTTCTTGGCCACAAGCTCTGTAATACTGGGCCTATTGTACCTGTTTCCTCACCTGCAAATGAAAATTTAACAGAACCTATCTCATAAGATTGCCGGCAGGCTTGTATGAGTGAACTCACTCAACACACTATGGCAGGGCTGGGCCCACACCGGCTCCATAAAAACAGGCTGTCATTAGCACAGTCTGTTAAGTCCTGTATTTGAGGCTGCCTGTGGAATCAGACATTCTGGCCATTCCCTCCTCCATCATTTACTAAGCACCTACTATGTGTACCCAGCAATGAACAAGCGCTAGGCCTACAAGTGCTGGCAAAGTTATTTGGGTACTACCAAGTCTTATTTTTCTCATCTATTAGGCAAAAGTAACAATATCTGCCGCACAGAGAAAACTATAAGAGGTAACTTCTCTTAAGAGCTCCCACAGTGCCTGGGACACAGCAGGCACTCAACAAATTACATCGCTAATCACTTCACATCTTCCCCTACCAGCCCGCAAGTGCCTCGGGATGTTCTGCCCCTTTGGTTCCGGTGCCTAACTCGGTCCTTGAGCAAACACTCCCTGCCTTCAATCTGAGAACTCCCCAGCACCTTCCGAGTTCACTTACAACAACAAACCCCCGAGAGCAAGGGAGCGAGCCGGCGATGCAGCGACCACTCGTCACCCGAGATAACCACCTACTGTTAAGCCGGGTGCCAGGATGTCAAGCCGGCTCCTCGTCACTTTTCAGTCTAGAGGTCCCACGGCTGCGGCTCTCCCGCAGGGCAGCCGCGGTCCACGGGGCCCAGAGCGCACCACTCCGCGTCCCACCGGCGCCCGTCCGGCCGCTGCCCGCGGGGGCAGCCGGGTCCGCCTCGCCCAGAGCGCCGTCCGCGCCGCCACGGCCGGCACAGGACCGACCCTCGGGAACGGGCCGGGGGAGCCACCACCCCAAACAAAAGAACGCCAACTCGCCGGCCGCGGGGCCGGGCCGCGGCTGCTGGGAAATAAACTTGAGGCGCGGGCGCCCCCCGCGCGAGCGCCCCGCCGGCGGCTGCGGGCGGCAGCGCTTTGTCCGCCGAGAGGCGCGCCGGGACCGCCAACTTTTCCGTAAAGATGGTGCCACGCTCTCGCACCGAGTGAAAGGTCACGGTGAGGGCCAGCGGGCGCAGGGCCGGCCTCGCCTCCGCGGCGCCCAAGTTGGCCGGCCCCACTTTCCCTTTTGTCCCCGCCGCCCTACCCGCCCGGCCAGGCCAGCGCGCGGCAGCTGCACTCGCGAGCGGGAGGAGCGGGACCGCGGCCACCCGCCGCCGCCGCCGCCGCCGCCGCCGCCGCCGCCGGGGCCCGCCGCGCACAAAGCGCGCCGGCGGAGCGCGGGCCGGACGCCGGGGCCTCGGCGCGGCCTGACCTGAGGCGGGGGCGCGCGTCCCCGCCAGGCCCGCCACCTGGCCGGCTCCCCGCCCCCGCGCCGCCGCCGCCGCCGCCACCGCTGCCGCCGCCCGCCAACCCCGTGCCGCCCCGCCGGCCCTGCGCCTCACCTCGGCATCGGCGGCCGCCATGGCCCGGGCCCGCAGCGTGGCCCCGCCCCTCCCGCGCGCCATCGCCCCGCCCGCGCCTCGCGGCCCAGGGCCGGGGCGGGGCCGGCTGCCCGCGTCTGCGCCTGCGCGCGCGCTCGCGCCTGCGCGCCGGTGTCGGAGGCGAGGGGCGCTTGCGCGCCGAGGCGGGACCCTGGAGGCGCCTGCGCGTTGGAGCGGGGCCGGGCGGCGCCTGCGCGCTAGCGCCCGGCATCAGCGTCCCGGGCTAGCTGGGCGCTTGGGAGTATCCTGGAGCCGAGAAGCTGCACAGCTGAGTATATAGTGGCTGCCGGGAATCCTTTCACCGCCAGTCTCGGATTTTGCTACCTCCTCTTTCAGTTACTCCAGTCAGCCGCCTTGGAAAATTCAGTATTGAATAGTACCTAGGCTTTTTTTGTTTCGTTTTTAACCGAGGGTTGAGCCCAGGGGTGCTTAACCCTTAAGCCATATCCCCAGCCATTTTTTTATTATTATTTTTATTTAATCCCAAAGAGCTGGGATTATGGGTGGGCACCATTGTGCCCAACTAAAGGACGATTATGGAATGCGATCCTTGGATGGAACTGGGTATTAAAGTCACTCATTTGTTCACCAAATTACTAGTTTCTGCCGCAACTTTTTGTTGTTGTTAAAAAGAAAGTCAAAATAAAAGGGTCTCCCTAATTGCTGAGGCTGGCTTTGAACTTGAGATCCTCCTGCCTCAGCCTCCCAGTCGCTGGAGTGACAGGCGTGGCCACCGGGCTGGCTGGTCCCTAGGCTTTCAATCGCGCTGTGTTTGGATAGCTGAGGGAGTCCCGCTGTCTCCCCTTTGCGCAGCGTATCCGCGCTGCAGGCGCTGCCCGCTGTGACCCCGTGGCCGCTCAGGCGGCCGCCGGCTGTGGGCATCGAGAGCTTGCGCGCGGCCCAGCACCTTTAATTTTCTTGGTAATGGCCCCTGAGCGCCTCCGCGATTCGGATGTGCCAAAGAGAGGCTGCACAATGCTTCCTTTAAGTGAAAAAGAAAGAAAGTTCTCGACTTCATAAAAGAAACCGGATGCTGAGGTTGATAAGATCCTCCTAGGTAAGGAAGATCTCCCATCCGTGCAATTATGAAAGAAAAAGAGGGGCTGGGGATGTGGCTCAAGCGTAGCGCGCTCGCCTGGCATGCGTGCGGCCCGGGGTTCCATCCTCAGCACCACATACAAACAAAAATGTTGTGTCCGCCGAAAATTAAAAGATAAAAAAAAACAAATATTAAAAAAAAAGTACCTATAAAATAAGAAAGAAAGAAAAAGAAATCTGCTAGCTTCCCTGTCGCACCTCGCACTGGAGCAGTAGGATTACAGTGCCTGTGAGCACTGCTTTGAGGTGCACAAGGTATTAAATTTGTGGGTAGACAATGAACAGAAACGTGTTGCAATTAGTGGCAGCGTCCAGAAGGCATTGAGCCTATAACAAGACTTCCCCAAGGAAGCCCTTGAAATAGAGGGCACCAAGCCATTTACTTCAAGGGATGATTACACAGACTAAAGAATAGGTTTGGACTGCAAAACAAAAACTTCTAGCGGTGAAGAAGCTGCTGCCCTATTTCCAGTAGAATTGAAGGCATTGACTAAGGAAAAAGTTCTTAAGGAAGAACTTGAGTCATCGGCAGAAGACACTGAAAGAGAAGTGGGGACAATGCCAAAATTTGCTGAAGTGTTTCAAATTGAACAGACATCAAAGGACTATTTTATTTATTTAGTTAGTTAGTTAGTTGTTGATGGACCTTCATTTTATTTGATTATTTAAATGTGGTGCTGGGAATTGAACTCAGTGCCCCACATGTACGAGGCAAGCACTCTACCCCTGAGCTACAACTCCAGCCCCAGAAATATTTTTTTTAAACTAGGGTTTGAGCCCAGGGCCCCAAATGCTAGACAAGTGTTCAACCATTGAGCTACATCCCCAGCCCTTTTTTGAGAGAGGTTCTCACTGATTGCCACAACTGGCCTTAAATTTGGATCCTCCTGCTTCAGCCTTCGGAATACAGTCCTTGGATGGAACTCAGTAATAAATTCACCTATATGATCACCAAATGACTAGTCTCTACAGCAAATTTTTGTTGTTGTTGAAAAGACAAAATAACTTCCAATTTCTATGTTATTACAAAAAGTTGGGGGGCAGGGGGAGAACTACACCAGACAAATGATGCAGACTTGTCATCTTACCAATTTGGGAGGCTGAAGCAGGAGGATCACAAGTTCAAGGACAGAATGGGCAACTTAGCCAGACCCTGCCTCAAACAAAATAAGGGCTAGAGCTGGAGCTCAGAGGTAGAGCACTTGCCTAGCATGCATGAGGCCCTGGGCTCCATTTCCACCACCCCAACATCACAAAAAGAAAACATTATCTGCGACATCCAACCACCCATACCATGATGGCTCAAAGGTCTAGGATCACCCAAAGCAGGTGATCTCTCCTAGAGCATGATCAGGTCAGTAGTAGCCCAGTGCTATATCACCTACACCATTCACCTTACTTCCTCCCATCACATAGGCACTTACAGAATGGTGAATACAGAACAATAAGATGGCTGAGAGGTCACAGTCATGCAATTTTTATTACAGTACATTATATAATTCTTCTATTTTGCGGGGTGGGGGGTGTACCAGGAATTGAATCCAGCGGCGCTTAACCACTGAGCCACATCCCAGCCATATATATATATATATGTATTTTTTTTTAAGAGGGTCTTGCTGAGTTGCTTAGGGCCTCACTAAATTGCTGAGGCTGGCTTTAAACTCATGATCCTCCTGCCTCAGCCTCCCAAGCTGCTGAGATTACAAGCATGGGCCACTACACCCAACTAATTATTTTATTACTAATGTCAGTCTCTTCCTATACCAAATTCATTGGTTAAATTTTACTGTATGTGTAAGGAAAATCATTGTATGTACAAGTTTCAGTACCACATGTGATTTCAGTCATCCACAGAGTGTCGTAGAACACACCCCTGCAGATGAGAGGGACTGTAAATTGGTGTTCTGGTGGGCAGGCCTAGGGTGAAGAACTCAAGGCTCAACTCTTAACCTCTAAACCCAGATACATTTTGATTTCCTGAGCTTTCACAAAGGCAGTCATCCTGAGTTGCTTTTTAGGGGGGTGCCCCAATTGGGGGTCTGCAGCAGAGGGGTGATGTGCTTATGGGGTGTGCCTGGCATGGAGGAAGGTGCTCTGGTTAGAGGAGGGACCCTACTTGGGCAAGGTCCCAGGTTCCTGGTAGGGAGGAATGCCCCAGCTGCTAGGAGGGATTCCAGCTAGGGGAATGTCCCAACTCCACATGTATTCTGATTGGGAGGATGTCCTAAGGATTGAGAAACTGCACAGAGGGGATTCCCCTCTAGGGAGATGATCCAGCTGGCAGTGGTGTCCTGAATGGGAAGGGGGTATTCCAGTATGGAGGAGTGCCCTGGTTGGGAGGTGTCCCAGTTAGGGGGTAGCTCTGGTTAAGAATGGGTGCTCTGGCTGGGAGTGATGTCACACTGGAAGGGTTGATGGACTGGGGTTTCTCAGATGAGATGCTGCCCCTGGCTATCCCCAGGCACATACTTGCTATGCACAGGGCAAGGACTTTCTTGCACACCAAGCACCCTTCGCTGGACAATGTACTTAGAGCCTCATAAAGCCTTTTAGGCTACCTGCTTCCTGTGGCCAAATCTGTCTCTTCTGTCCCTGAGACTTGAGAAAAGCATACAGCAAAACTGATGTTCTCACTGCCAAGAACTAAGGACGCTCTGAGTCTTGACAGTCATAGACTCAGTCTCATGAGGAAAAAATAGAAAAATGACTCTGCTACATCTGCAGTGTCAGTGTACACAGATAAAGAGGAATGGACAGCCCTAAGTGCCATTCCAGTTTTCTTTAGGGCGATTCAACTGTTCTGTCAAAGCCCTTGAGCTCCCAACCCACCCTCCCTCTATCCCACTCCATCTCCACTCCTGCCTTAGGACCTCCTCTGACCTCTCCAGGAAACTTTTATCTCTAGTATGTGCAGGGTTCACTTTGCTGTGTACCTCTAGTTAACAATGAGATCGCCCAGCCCTTTGCTTTATCTGGCTCTGTATCCTGCATGTCACATGACAACCCTGTATTCTTACTGGGCATGTTATCTGTCTTATCCCTAGGATAGCACTGTTTTGTGTGCTCAGAATAATACAAGAGACAAATAGTTGTTAGATGAACATATGCAGTTAAAATGTGGGGGAAACCCCTTACCATGCAAATGTGACCACAAATGCATGTGACAAGTAGGCTACAGGCAGGCCTCCCACTCCAATTTTGTAGACCTGCCTTCCTTTGATGGCCACTGACCACATATCCACAGTTCTCATCAGGTGATGTGTGCTTATTAAACCTAGACAGACTTGAGAGGCAGGCACTGTTGGCACCCTCACAAGTGATGGAAGCCAGGAAACCAAGCACCTGTGGGGTGGCACTGGCTAGAGGCCAAGATGGGACTCCAACCCAGGCCTCTTTCCTGGGTTGGAAGTAGATGCACTACTTCTAGCATGTGCTTACAGACTAACCCACCTGTAGCCTCCTGTCCGCCTTCTTTCAGTTGTCATCCTTCCCCTTGTCCCAGGGAGCTAGTGTTAGCTGAGTACAAGGCTACCTGGCCAGAGCCCACACTGCCAACTGCAAGGGCTGGCCTACAGCGTGTGCAAGTGACAGCCCATAGTCCATCTGTCCATCTGAAGCTACAGCCTAGGGATGACAGCCACTTACCAGGCCTGTCCTCTGGTGCAATCAGTTTAGTGAGTATGTGACCTATTCCCTAAGAGTCACGAACTTGTTACTCAGCCAAGGTGGCTGACACACCTAGTATCTCTCCACTCTATCAGAGAAGTCATGTGGCCCAAATCTACCCTGACCACCCCCATTGAGTCATTCCCATGGAGCAACAAAGGCAGCACCTCCAGGCCCTCCCTTAGAGCAGCAGGGTGCCTCTCTGGGAAACACTGCCCACAGTACCCCACCTATCTAGCTCTGGAAGCCTAGAACATAGTCTTCAAAGCATGGTCCTGGGTGAGAGCAGACAGGCATGACCTGCAGAGCCAGCTGAGCATTGGTGTTAACAGCCTCCAAAGGCCCAAGGGAGGGGGTTCCACTGTGGGCAGGGGCCTCGCAGGGGAAGGATGCATCTGGGAGGGGGCAAAGATGGAGCAGAACCAAAGAAAAGGTGGGAGCACCAGGTCCAACCAACACAGGCCGGAGGCTGCAGGGCATCCGTGGATGGAGGCAGGCCAGCCTCTGTCCTGTAGAGGCAGGCTCTACAAATATAACACTTTATTTACAGAGTTTCTCTAGTCTCTGGTCCCTGTCTCCCCCATCTCGACCTCAGGGAGAAGAGGGCTGACAATAGGGAAGCCGAGAGAGGTTGTTCCAGCCAAGAGGTGGCCTGGACAGGCATGAGTCCTGAGCGGCCAGGCCAGGCAGAGAGCTAAGGCACGAGGCCCTGGGCACCCCATCCCAGGGCAGAGGCCAGGCCCACCAGGAAAGGTAGCATGAGGTCAGCTCTCAAGGGTCAGCTCCTGGGAGTCAGGCCAAGGTCTGCACCACTGCAGCTCTGCTCATAAGAAGGTGGGGCCTCTGTGGGGAGAGAGTTGTGTCTGCAAGGGGCTGTGGCATCTCCTCCCCAACCTCCATCCCTGGCCTTCCCACTCACCATAGGGGTAGCCCCAAGAACTGTACTCTGGGGGAAGGATCAAGGCGCTGGTGGTGGGCACTGGGCCCCCAAAGCCCTCTGCAAAGTAGGGGACAGTGGCACCTGTAGAGATGCACAAGGGAGGGTGCAGAGAGTGGGGAGCAGGACTGCCATCATGAGCACAGGGCTCAGGGGCGACAGGCACAGAACACAAGACAGCAGGTGGTGGCTGCTGCTGTGAGTGGCTCTTGGTGGAGAGGGAGACCAGGTCTGAGAAGTGGGGGCCGCCAGCCACAACCTCAGCTTCCTCCTGGGGTGGTGCGGAAGGCACCACTGGGGGTGAGGGTCCAGCAGGTGGCTCCAAGCCTGGCCCAGGGCTCAGGGGAGCATGGTTCACAGCAATATTGCCAACAAAGATGGGGAGGGTCACGGTGGCTTCAGGCACCTTCATGGAGACCTGGGGAGGATGGGGGTGGTGAGGGGCCAGGGTCAAGGCCACCCAGCCTCAGGCCACCCCACCCTCAGCAGCACCAAACCTGCAGGTAATAGTCAATGTGGATAAGGCTGCAGCCCGGCAAGGCCGACTGTGGCAAGGCAGGCACCAAGATCTGCTCTTGCCACTGCGCACGCCTCCAGGCCTTGACACCAGCACCCTCCACCTCCGCAATGGTCCGCACGTCGTAGATCCAGCGCTTGGCCTTATAAGACACTTTCTGAGGAAAAAAACAGCTTATGAGCCTGGGAAGGCTGGCAACCAACCCGTCCCTCCGCCTGAGTAGCCACAGCTCACTGACCTGCAGCAGACTGGCCACCACAGGGCTGGTGTCCTTGCCCGACTGGTTCTCTATCTCAGCCTGCAGCCGTAGCACCTGCCCCACCACATAGCCTCGGAGATCAGTGCTGGCCGTGAGGACCACACTGCCTGTCTTCACCAACTTGTAGGAGAACTTCTTGGTGGCAGAGGCCACGTTAGGTTGCTAGACAGAAAGGGAAGTGGGGAGCAGGTGAATGTGAACAGAATTCCTGCAGCACTGGGACAAGCCCTCTCAATCCTGCCCCAGATACCAGTGATCAGCTCAATACAAAGGCTGCTACACCCAAACCCTCAGTTCTGCCCCGCACCATGGACAGATGGGGACCACCAAGGAGGTCACTGTTCCATCCTCACCTCAATGTCTGGGATGCTGTTCAGGTTCAGAGGGCTCAAGATATAGAATACAAGGCTGCACTTGTGATCCTTGGAGAAACGTGCAGTGTCGATGGTAGCCCTCACCTGGTGCACAATCCTGCCAAAAGGACCCTCAAAGGACGTGGGTGCTGTGGCTAGGGAGAGAGCAGGAACTGGCGTCTGGCAACTCCACCTATGGGGCCTACCCTCCCAGGCCATTGTCCCTAGCAGCCATTCAAGCTGGGCTCTCACCAGGAAGCAGGAACTGGAAGGGGAAGCTGTGCTCTCCAGCGGGCAGGCTCCCTGCAGAGACAGGAGGGAGGTGGGGGCCAGCCTCAGGAGGCCCATGGGGCAGCCACAGTGCCAGGACAGCAGTGGCCCTGCAGCTGCCCAGCCCACACTGGTCTCCCCATCCATCTCAGCACAGCAGCATAGCCCTGGCCTGAGCAAAAGGCTGCAGGTGAGAACTTGGCTTGAATGGGGAGGCGGGGCGCACAGGGGAATAAAATGGCTACACGAAGGTCAGAGCCTACCCAGATCCAGCACCAAAGAAGGGTGCCCCCTTCAGCCACCCAGACACTCTGAGGCAATGCCACAGTGCCTGCAGGGGAAAGAAGCCCACCAGGGCACACAGCCATGGGGAAGTAGCACAGGGTTCCAAGAGACAGATGTGGAGAGGCCAGACAGGCCAACTCCAGACAAGGGCTGCCCTAGGGGTCACCACTTGGATGCTATAAGGGACTGGCTCACAGACTCACCCTTGTCAGCCAATGACAGGGAGCTGTTGAAGTAGCTTTCTTCCACCACCCATCCTGTATCATTAGCCTTGTTGGAGACCCCACAGGAACCCAGGCAGGTCACACGGATTGCTGCAAGGGGAGGAAAGCATGAGCCCCAGCCAGCCTGGCAGCACCCTAGCCAGACAGGAAGCCCCTGCCTTTCCAAGAACACCCTAGCCATCCCTGATCTTAGAGTGCTTTCCAGGAAGCCAGGCTGGCAAAGGAACTGAGTTTCATCTGTCCTGGCATTCAAGGGGGTGGCTCATCCTATTCCTGTAGTAACCCCCAAAATGGTAACCTTGGCCCCCCACCAGACCTGTGAAAACAGCCCCTATAAGGGATTCTTGGGACACCCCACTACTGCAAGTCAGTTAGGCAGGAAGGCACCCCTTCATGCTCCAGGAAGCTAACTGCCAACCCTCACGCTGCAGGAATGTGGTCAGACCTGCCTGAGCAGGTCCACAGTCTGCCACCCCAAAGGGTGGGGCCCCTGACTTCCTGGGCAGCACTGCCCAGGAGGCTGATTTAGCGGGAGGGCCCCATCAGGACCTACTGAAAGCCAAACTCCAATTCCTCAATCCAACATGTCCAGAGCCTGTGGATAGGCAGCCATGGCTGGAAAATCAGACCAGCCAAGGCTGGGCACAGGGAGAATCAACCCAACAGAACCACAGCACAACAGAGGCCCAGGCAAGGATTAGGTGGGAGTCAGTGACAAGCACCCTGCAGTTCCACCCCACCCTTCTCCCTGCAGGGCCAGATCAAGGATTCTGCTCCTTTCCTTGTGCTTCTCCCAGACTTGATGGGGCCACGTGAGGGGAAGATCGCTCAGACCCTGATGCCTTTCTAATGAAACCACCAGGTGGGAGGAACATGTAGTGTCCAAGTGCCAGAGTTAGCCACACCTGCCTCACCTGGGGTCTGCCTAGGCAAGCCACACCCTGTGGCCCAGGCCTCCTGGGGATCACCCTCAGAACTCCTCCTGCAAACCCTGGCTCATCCTCAGCCCCAAGTGGCTCTCCACATATATACCCCTCTTCCCTTTGACTGATGCCAGGCCTCTGTCCCCGACCCCTGTACCACCCTTTTCTCCTTAGCCTCCATGCCAGGCTAGCCTATCACACTGATCTCAGCCCTGATTTGGAATCTACGCCAGCCTGAGAAACACCAGGGTGAAAGCAGGCCTAGAAAAGTTATCCAGGGGGCTAGAGATGTTGTGTGCTTGGACACACCCTCTTGAACAGAGCATGTTCCTCCTGGATCCTGCAGGTGAATCCTGCAGATGCCCGAACCAACCAAGAATGCTAGAAGGGGAAGGAGGTGCTTCCAGTTCTTCCAGTCGGCAACAGAATTGAAGACAGAACTGAAGACATGCACTGCCCACCACTGCCCAAATTCCTAACCCTCAACTCAAACAACAAAATGATTGTTTGAGCTATTTAGCTTAGGGTGATTTGTTATTTTTTTCACTGCTAGGGAGGGAACTCAGGTCTTGTGCCTGCTAGCCAAGTGCTCTACCACTAAGCTACAACCCCATCCATTTGGCGTGACTTTTACATAACAGATGCCCCCTCCCCACTACAAATCAGAGAAAGTGTGATTACTTTCAATTTTAACCTGTCAAATTGGCAAATGTTAAGCACTTTGACATGTGTTAGGTAGGAGATGGAAAACATGATCACCTGCAGGCTGAACACACACTACTGGAGGCAGCAATCCAGGCTTCAATGAAACATCAAGGACCCAGCCTAAACCCCCTTGGAGTGTGGGACATGGAGCCACATGAGCCCAGAAAAACAAACAGCATCCAACCCAGGGAACCCGGGCTCTGTGATCTTCCCAACACGTTAAGGATTCTGTGGAGGACCCGGCCTGCCCACTCTCTCAGCAGGATGGTGAGACACAGCTGGCACACAGTACTTCTGCTACTTCCTCACCAAAAGCCTGGAGCTGTTCCTCTGCTGGTCAGCAGAGTTTCAGGTCAGGCTGGGAGTTCCCCACAGAGCCAGTTTTCACTGGTCAAGACCAGAGGCAGAGAGAGGTTGGGTTTTTGCCTTCTCAAATTTCTGGATCAGGCAGGATCTCAGGATGCAATTCCTTTTTTTTTTTTTTTTTTTTTTTTTTTTTGGTGGTGCTGGGAATTGAACTCAGGGTCTTGTGCATGTGAAGCAAGTACTCTACCAACTGAGCTATATCCCCAGCCCCTCAGTTGCAGTTCTGCCCAAAGAGAAGTGAGGGGAGACCACAGGGCACATTGGAAAGGGTCTCCTTGCTGCTGGAGAGGCACCGGACACAGCATACCCTTCTTTCTGAGTGCAGACTCTCATGATGGCAGTACAGGGGCAGTCACCTAGTCACCCTGCTTCCTTCACTTTCAAACTTTAATGTTGGAGCTGCTTTTTGGTGGTGACCCTGAAGCCCCATTCCTCCTCCCCGATGTGGGGCTACCTGCTCCTGGCAGTAAGTGAGGTGCTCACACCAGCAAGTGCCTGTCACAAGGTCATGGGATGGGGGCAGGGGTGTACTGGCAAGGCATCCTCCCCAAAGTGAGGCCTGCGAGCCAAGCACTCAGGTATAAATGCTTCCAAACTGTTGCACGAGGCATAGCAAAACACAAGGCACCAGCCCAGCAGAGTCAGTCTTGGTTGGAACAGGTTGTTCACAGGAACTTCAGGACCTTTCTCCTCACACCAGTGTGTCCACCTGCCTAGCAGCCCCCTCCCTTGCATCCAGCCCTCTGACCTTGAAGACCTCCACTCACTGCTGTCCTGGTCCCAAAGTTCTCAAAATCTGTCCCAACCCCAATGGCTCCCCAAAATGGAGGCAGCCCAGCCTCTGTCAGACTCTCTCAGTAAGTCTTACCTGTCCTGCTTCCTAACTGTGTCATGAGAATAACCAGAATGGCCTCCTCCAGAGTACATGAAGCTGACCCATGGAGAATGGGGAGACATGCATCTGACCCACAATGAGAGGTCAAGGAGAGGAAAGAGAGTACAAGGCCACCCTACTTGGCCCCACCTCAGGCTTCAGAAAATTGCTCCTTCCTGGATTCCCTTCCACATCAGCTTTTAGGTAGTTGTGTCCTCATGGCTGGGTGCTGACCATTACTGCTACTCATCGGACAAGTGTTCAATGAGCAAATCCGGGAACCTTGGGGCAGGTCTGCCACCCACATGGGGAGTGAAGGGTCTCCCTGCAGCACCTACTGGAGCTAGCAGAAACTTAAAAGAACGATGGTCCTTCCTGTTCCATTCCAGGCAGGGATCAAGGAAAACCTAGTGGCACCCTGGCAAATTCACCCCCATCAATATGAATAATCCAACCTCTTGCCCCAGCTCATATCTCCACTTTTGGGCACATTTTATAGTCAGGACCAAGTGCTGGGGCTCCTTTGGCCTCCATAGGGTCAGCTCTCCATTTATCCACCCTCTACCTACCACAAGGAGGCCAGGGACTTAGGAAGCCAGGAGCTTGGCCCATTCTGTCACTGTGGTGAGCAATGACCTGCTCAACCTAAGCCCATCCAGGGAGGGAAGGAAGATGGACAATCCAGGTGGTGAGCTCTACACAAGACCTCTCTCCTGACTGCGGGTTCCTCCTAGCCCAGGAGCACATAGCCTTGAGTCTCACCTGTCTTTTGTGCCCAAGGAGAACTGCCCTGTAGCTGCTGTATCCCCTCTGATGGCCACACCTGCCCCCACCCAAATCGCAAACTCCAAGTGGGGACACAGGAGAGGAGGCAACAAAGTCATCACCAGGAAACCCAAGCCCAGAGCCTGAGGGAAGCACCTACAACTCAGCTTCCTCTTAGACCTGGCAACTCAGAAGGTCAGGTGTCAGAAAGCCATCACCCAGCCCAAGACCACTGAGGGGAGGATGACAGCTCTCTGTCCTCACCAGAAGTACAAGCTGCCAGCAGTGCAGAAGCCAGGGAGATCAGGTGCAGAGGGAAGTTGCAGCCGTGGTTCTGTCGAAGCAGCCAACGTAGAGAAACATCCCACAGGGACACCCACCCCAACCTCTACTCAGAGCTGGGGGTCAGGCAATGGCCACCATGCTGCCCAGCACACCCTGAGGGCTCAGCCATCAAGTCCCTCTCGGAGCCCTGTCCCCAGGAAGCAACAATATGACTACTACTGAGCACAGGAGCCCCATACCTGCAGAGTGTCCTATCAATGCCACCGTGGAACCCGATCCCAGGCCCCAAAGTCCCAGATGCCTGCATCAGCAGAGGCTCGGGCTCAGCTCCAAGAAGCTGGCTGGGCTAGGGTGAAGGGATACCAGGATGAGCCAATACATACTGCCCCTAAGGACAAACCTTGGGCAGACTGTAAGAAGGTGCCCAGTGGACTCTGCTGGGGATCCGCACTTGAGCCGCGCACTGACGCCCGCGGGGCCGCAGCTCTTAAGAGGAAGAGCCTGCCCCTATGCCTGGTGGCTTAAGAGAGGGGACCCAGAAGGCTAGGTTTCAGATGAGGGCCCAGCAGGTGCGGAGCGCAACTAGATGAGGAAGGTCGGAGTCATGGGTATGTCCACGGTCGCAGTAGCCTTGGCAAGGTGGACAGGTGCTAGGCCCTCACCCGGACTCTGGTTGCCCCTAAGCGGAGAGGACAGGAAGGGGCAGATGCGGAAGGACTGGGCCAACGGGCCTGCCTGCCTGCTCCGCCCCAGCCGATGCCGGCCACCCAACAACAACAACGGGCCTGCGGCACCCGCAACCGCGACCCAGCCCTCCCGCAGCCCGCCGGGTCCGCCGAGGACTGCAGACCCAGGCCCCAAGAGCGTGAACCACCCGCTTCCGGGAGCTCGGGCCGCGGCAGGTGCGGGCGCGGCCACCGCCCTCCCCCGAGGCACCCCGCGCCCACCTCGGAAGGGTAGCTGCGCCCCCAGACGCACGCGCACGGTCCCGGTCAGAGGCTCCCCTGGGCTGTAGACTACGCGGCCGTGGCTCAGTCGGATCTCGAAGAGCTGCACCCGCCCCATGCCGCGGCCTCCTGCGCCGCGCACTGACGCCCGCCGGGGCCGCAGCTCCGAGACCCGCCCCGAGGATCCGCCTCGAGTCCGAGGACCGCCCCCAGCCCGCCCCAAGACCAGCCCTGAGCCCGAGGACCCTCCCCGATTAGCTAAAAGGACCGGCTTTCGGCGCGCCCTGAGCCCAGCGATCCTCCCCAGGCCCACGGATCCTCCAAAAGCCCACCCCGAGGATCCGCCCCCGACCCTCTACCACATCTAGGATCTGCCCTCGAGGACTCACAGCAGAGTGCAGGTACGGTCCCCTCCACGCCTCCAGGAACCGCCTACCGACCCGCCCACAGACCGCACGCCCCTAACCTGCCGGCCCGTCCCCCGCGCCGAGAGGTATGCTCTTTAAGCTTCCTGGGGACGCTTGTGCTGAGCAAGCCACGAGTGCGCGGAGGTCCTGAAGACAGATGCTAAGCGGTGAGGCCCAGGGCAGCGAGTGCCCCTGGAGAGGGGACCAGGCGCCAGAATCAAGGCTGGGGCCGCCGGGCAGAGGTGCAGATGACTGTAAAATCAGGAGGAATATATTAGGATTCATCTTTTTTAAAAGGTCTCCCTCCTTGCAGATCTCGGTAGCGCACACCTGTAATCCCAGCAAGTCAGGAGGCTGAGGCAGGAGAATGACAAGTCCGAATCCAGCATCAGCAACTTAGAGAGATTTAGAGAGACCCCAACTCAAATTTTTAAAAAATAATAAAATAAAAAGGACTGGGGCAGGGCGCGGTGGCGCACGCCTGTGATCCCAGTGGTTGGGGAGGCTGAGGCAGGAGGATCACGAGTTCAAGGCTAGCTCCGGCAAAAGCATGGCGTAAACAACTCAATGAGACTCTGTCTCTAAATAAAATACAAAATAGGGCTGGGGATATGGCTCAGTGGTCTAGTACCCGGTACCTAAATAAATAAATAAATAAATAAATAAAGGACTGGGGATGTATCTCAGTGGTTATAGTGCCCTGGGGTTCAATTCCCAGTACAAAAAAAAAAAAAAAAGTCCTTTTGCAGAGAGTGAACTGGGAGGTGGGGAGACACTCAAATGCATATATCCCCAACATTCCAATGTTTGCTTTTACCATGATGCAAAAGCCAACCTATGCAACCCTTGCTCTTCACTTTCAGAACAATACTGAATAAATTACATGATATTCAACACTTTATTACAAAAGGTTGTTATGTTGCACAACTATCCCACCTGTAGGCTGTGAGTGTTCTCAGCACTGTCAAGGTCAGCTGTGATGGTCAGTAGTTCAAGGGTATTAAATGCCCTTCTCAACTTAGGATATTTCCACTTTTTATTTAATGATGGCTTTATCAGGAGTTACCCTGTCATAAATGAAGGAGCACCTGTACCAGGGGCAAATCAAACTCACATGCACAGTCTAGGGGAAAGGGCTACAAAACCCAGAGAAGCCAGGGAGTATCTAACATGGAGAGGAGGGGAATCACAGTTGCCAGACAGCTGGCAAAAAGGAGGCGTTTTTCCAATGGAGAAGATACGTACATCTCTTAGGAACAGGAGTCATGACATTCTGAGTCTCAGGTGTTCTGGGCACCCAACTTCCAGGCATAAGTCTGGGGAGTCAAAGGGCTAAATATTTGGTAACTGGTGTACAGATGGCAATTGATGTCTAAGGTGTTTGGGTCAAGAGTTCAGGACACAACCCAGACGCTAGTCTTGCTGTATCCAGCAAAAGGAGGAGGGACTCAGGTCCCCTGGGGTAGTCCTAGGCCTGGTTGATATTTCCCCACAAAGCTCCTTAGTATCCCATGTTCCAGGAGGATGGGTCACTCCACATCTTCCTGCCAGGATGGTGCAAATGGGGGAATTCCTGAACAAGGAGTCTAGGGTGCCAATAGGAAGGGGGATGATGACAGGCAGCACCCAAATGCCAAACCAACACAAGTCAAAAGGAATGTGTTTCAGGAGGGAGAGGACAGTTGTGCTGAATGTTGTTGGGTAGAATCATGTGGAGGACCTAGGTGGTTTTTTATCCCAGGGCTCCCACAGGGCTCTGCATATCCTCTGTCCTGACCCCATCTCTCATCAACACCCTGCTCCCCTGGGATCCACATCAGCACAGATGCTGTCCTCAGTCTTGTCTCTGTATGATCCACTCTGCTTATTGCACTAACAGGAATCTGACTTCTCTGGGAGCCTTGCGAGTGTAGATGTTTCTTTCACACAATTCAGATATCTCTGGACTTGGAGGCAGGGAGGTGCCCTCCAGCTCCTTACGACCCTTCTAGACCATTCTTCACCCTAAAAGTTCCCAGCTTTAAGTGTCATATTTTCAGAATTTTGACTTACCACCTTCTCAGTCACTGCAAACAAACTGTTCTGTCCCCTCATTTCATTGTAATCTCAGCTCCTGACTGTCATTCTCTGCAATTCCACTCCTGTAGACATTCTGAGTGACTTTGGAACTACACTAGGTGATCCTTCCAGCCTTCTGGCCTCTGCCTGGGCTTTGCTTTGCAAAGGTCCTGTCCACATGGTTCTACCCAGCAGCATTCAATACAACACTGTCCTCTCCCTTCTGAATCACATTCCTTTTGACTTCTGTTGGTTTGACATTTGGGTGCTGCCTGATATTGTCCCCTTTGCCACTGACATGATTGAGGTGACAGAGTTCAGTACTCACAGTTCCCAGGAGGAAGAGACAGCAGGTCCTGTGGGGTCACAGCATGGCACAGGACCTTCATTTTGTTTTCCACAAGAAGGAATGGGCAAGCCAGGCACAGTGGCACATGCCTGCAATCCCAGCAGCTCGGGAGGCTGAGGAAGGAGGATCGCAAGTTCAAAGCCAGCCTCAGCAACAGAGAAGCGCTAAGCAACTCAGTGAGACCCTATCTCTAAATAAAATACAAATAGGACTGGGGATGTGGCTCAGTGGTGGAGTGCCCCTGAGTTCAATCCCAAGTAAAAAAAAAAAGAAGAAGAAGAAGAAGGAAGGAAGGAATGGACAAGGTAAGGGAGGCCAGCTTGAGAGAGCGCAGGACTGAACAGTTGAACAATTTCAGCAGGCTCTGGCCTGGTGATCTCTGGTCATCTGGTTCCTGGCTCTGGCATGGCTTAGGGCAGGGAAATGGAGGCTTGGTGTGTAAGTCAGATAAAGGAGGTGGGTGGGCTGTGGGGTTAGGGTTAGGGTTAGTCTGTGTAGGAAAGACTTGATCCTGGGCAAGCCATCTCCAGCAATCAGCTGCCCCTGAAAGGGGCAGACTTTCCAGAACTAGTACAGCTCCAGGATGTAAAGCATCATAAAACTCAGAAAATTAAAAACACGATTAACACAACCTCTGAATCTCATGACTCCTTTCCTCAAGAATGTCCACTACGGGGCTGGGGATGTGGCTCAAGCGGTAGCGCGCTCGCCTGGCATGCGTGTGGCCCGGGTTCCATCCTCAGCACCACATACAAAGATGTTGTGTCCGCCGAAAACTAAAAAATAAATATTAAAAAAAATTCTCTCTCTCTCTCTCTCTCTAAAAAAAAAAAAGAATGTCCACTGGACTTCAGCAGCAACCTCCTACAGCTTGGTGGCTGATCTTCAAAGATGTCCACCAACAACTCCTTTCATCCCTTTATATCCATGCTGCTCCTCCCATCAGAAGTGGGCTCCATCTCCTGCTGTTAAATCTGAGCTGACCTGGTAACCTGGTAACTTACTTTAACTGGTAGGATAGAAACAAGAGCTATGCCACACTAGTTCCAGGACTGGCTCTGAAGAGCCCTGAACTGCCATTTGGAAATATTTGGTTACCCTGCAGAGAGAGCATGAGAGACAGAAAGCTCAGACATGTAAGTGGAGCTATCTTGGATTTTTAGCCTCAGTTGTGTCCCCAGATGACTGCAGCTGTATGAGTGGTCCCAGTTGTTTCAGCCATCTATGGTTATAGGAGGAAACACCCCAATTAATTATCCTGAAAGCTGGGCTGGACTCAGCTGGGAGGCTCTTTTGATGAATGGCATCTGCTGGGGATGGGGTATTCAAGATGCCCATTACACATACACACATGCCAGTTGGCTGGGGCTGATCTGATATCTCTCTCTTCCATATGGACTTTCCTCATGGCTACTTGGGATTCCACACAGCACAATGGTGTCTAGAAAGTGGGACTGACTATCTTGTGGCTGGTCCCCAGGAGAAAGAAGTAGAAGTTGATAATCCTAAGGCTAGGCTCAGAGTCCCTGAAATTTCTTCTATATTTATTTCATCAAAGCAATCATAAGATAAGTGTGGGGTACAGCACACACTTACAAGGAGGAAAGGAGTTGATGGTGACAATTTGAAACAGCAGAATCAACCAGCTGAGCCCAACCTAGATTTTAGAATAATGAGAAAATGAGTAGTTATAAGTCACTATGTTTGGGGGTGGTTTACTATGCAGCAATAAATAACTGAATTGGAAATGAAATACTGCCAAAATAAAATTCTGAAATGTGGCACTGACGTTGGAGCCAGGTAGCAGGAGAAGGCCAGAAGGGTCATGAGAAGGCCTCAGAGATGGAGAAAGTGGAGCCGTGTGTTTTCATGAGACCACTGCCCATGGCAGCACAGAACAGAACACAGGTCTGAGGACCTAATTTTTCTGACAGCAAGTTGAAAGGGCCAGTCAGCTTCCTTCAGTTATTTATGGTAAAGTGAAAATAAGAATAGAGAGAAGGACTATAAGTAGGAACTGCTCTGCTTTTAAGCCAAACAGAAATATTTAGAGAATATATTTCAACACAAGTTTTGCTAAGTTGGAAAACAAAATGCTTTCTCACTTCCAGCCTCTCCAGGTAGCAAAAATTTCCCAAAAGAAAGGGCATTAGGAAGGAGATGAAACTCAAAGATATTACCTGCAAGACACACCCTCAGGGTCACCAGCTATTCCAGATGCTTCATAAGACCCCTAGTTGAGGTCTCTGAGAGGTTTCAGGCAGGGGCACTGTCCAATAGATCTGACTTGAAGCCCACAGTAAGAGAATTTGTGGCACAGCTTGTGTCTAGTGAGGTGAGTTACAATTTTATGTGTGGAACATTCATACATTTTTAAAAAATTTATTCATTTTGTGGCCCTGGGGGTTGAGCCCTGGGGATTGAGCCCAGGAGTACTCTACTACTGGCACACCCCAGCCCTTTGTGTTTTGAGGCAGTTTTGGTAAGTTACACAAGCTATCCTCAAACTTTTGATCCTCCTGCCTCAGCCTCACAAGTCTCTGAGATCACAGGGGCATGCCACCATAGCCAGCACACAAACTTTTTAAAAATATAGTATCTGTTTGAACTAAAAGATGCAGTGTTCAAAATAAAGGAAACTGTTGGGCCCCCAACTTTCTATAAGCAAGAAGCAGGCTTGAGGAAGCAACTTAGCTGCAAACAGGAGCCATTTCCTACAGAAAAGGAAAGGTGACTCAGTGTGGAGCCAGGAGTGGGGGGGTGGGGCAAGAGCTGCTGAGGCAGTGGGAGCATGCACAAGGCGCTGGCTCCATCCCCAGCACTGGAAACAAAACAGACTGCTGAAGCAGGAGACCAGGGGATTCTTGCAAGGGGCAGGCCAAGCCTGCAGGAACAGTGCCTGCCCTGGAGCTGAGGGGCTGGTGGTGTCTAGCTGGGTTTCAACACTGCTATGTACCAGTGATTCTGGGTACTCATCTCCTGTTTGAATGAGGGTGTCCACATCAGTGCTCCTGTTTCAACACTGAATGTTGGGTGTGGAGGGCAGACAATGGGTCTGTTACTTTACAGGTCTATAGAGCAAAAGAAACCACAACCAACATGCCTTCTCCACACCTGGACCTGTTACAGACCACAGGATTCTGGGCTTCTAGCCTAACTCCTGAATGAGATGGCAATTTTAAAGATTGCAGGGACTCAAGTGTCACTGTCATATAGAATGGCATGAATTGTGGGGCCAGAGGTTGTGTAGTGGCAGGCAGTTACACTGGCAGCCCCTGCATGAGTGCCCACTAGGTAAGAAAACACCTGAGTAACCTGAAAAGAGGAAAGGTTTATTCTGGCTCACAGCTTGGGAGATTTCAGCCCAGGTCTCTGGTCTGTGGTAAGGCAGCACATCAAGGCAGCATGTGATAGAAGGAGCTGCTGGTCTTATGGCCAGGATGCAAAGAAAAAAATAGAAGAGGGGCCAAGGCCCCAACATCCCCTGCAAGGACATTCCTTCTTAGGAGCAGGAGACCTCCCACTAGGCCCCACCTCTTAGAGGTGACACACCTCCAGTGGAACCAGAGCCTGGCAGCCAAGCCTTCCACACAAGCCTCCAGGACCCTCATCCATACCACAGCACTGTCCTCAAGTTCTGTGTCAACTTTCCTGCACCACCTGGCTTGCCCACGTGACTTGCTTTGCCAGTGGGGTGCTAGAAGAGCAGGACTCTGCCCAGGCTCAGCAGCCCCTGTGCACACAGGAGTCCTGGCAATCTGGCCAGACCACAAGGGGAACCACCACCACCACCCCACCCCACCCCGTGGGAATGAGAAAAACAGTGAGGTGCTGCAGTTGAATTCCCAGCCAATGCAACCCAGTGAGGGGCCCAGCCAACACCATGTGAGGCAGAAGATCTCCAGTCCATTCACAAAACTGTGAGAAATGACAAATCCGTGTTTACTTAAGCAGTTACATTCTGGGGGAGTCTGTTGCACATCAGTAGGTAACTGAAGCATGTGGTGGTCAGCAGCAACAGCAGCAGTCCCTCCACAATCTCAAGTCCAGTCCTCCTGGGGTCTGAGTCCCCCACTTCCTCTCCTTCTAACCCTCCCTCCAGTGCCAACAATCTTTTGGACCACCACTGTGGCCTCCGAACCACTGATGACACCCTTCTGGTGTCTTTTAGCTCTGGTGCCAAGGACAAGCCTTACAGCCACTCCTACTCCTCCAGCCTCTTCCCCTCTTGCTCACCTAGAGTGAGCACAGTCCTGTCCAATCCAACCTCTCCTTGCCTTCTCAGAGACAGCCTACAGACTGGGCTGGTGACTGGTTTCCATTCCACATTCCTGCTGACCCCCCTGCTGTGCTTTCTGCCCCTCAGGCGCCTGCCACAAGTGGGTGTGCCACTCCTGACCCTCTCTGCTAGAAGGGCCAGTCCTTCTTTCACACTCACTTCCTACCAGTGATTTCTACTGCACTAAGAAAGCAGCAGCTTCTCATCAGAGAACTCCCCCAAGCCCCAACACACACTGCCTTTCCAGAGCCATCAGATTCCCCTCACTATTACTGACAGGAACCAGACATGCACTCCTGTAGAAGTAACTCTCCATCCTCTCCCTTTCTCTGCCCGTCTCCCATCCTTTCCTTTATAACTTGTTCTCCTTCTCTAAGGAGAACTTGCTTTCCTAGCACCCCACTGGCAAAGCAAGTCACTTGTTCGTTCCCACCAATAAACAGACATGCATGCTATCTCCCACTACACAAATCTCTCCTTTTATTTATTCTCTCTCTCTCTCTCTCTCTCTCTCTCTCTCTCTCTCTCTCTCTCTCTCTCTTTCTCCAAGAATTGAGCCCAGAGGCTCAACCACTTAGCCACATCCCCAGCCCTTTTTATTTTTTTATTTTGAGACAGAGTCTCGCTAAATTGCTTAGGACTCCATCAGTTGCTGAGGCTGGCTTTGAACTCGTGATCTCACGATCCCTCTCCTTCAGGCTCAGGAGCTACTAGGATTACAGGCGTGGCCACCCACCCTGAACAACTAACATTCTCCCTTGACTTCCTTTCTTTCCAACTTCAGCCCCACTTCTCTACTCTCCTCTTTGACAAAATGCTATAGAAGAGTTTTGACAAAATGCTATAGAAGTTTTCTCATGGTCTCCAATTCCTGTCCTCCCATTCCTTTTTAAACCAACTAGATCTGTTTTTCCACTGAAACTGTACTTATCAAGGTAATCAACCAATGGTCAGGTTGCTAAAATCCACTGATTTATTTCCAGGTGCCACCGAATAGGGCCTATCTGCAGAGTCTGACACAGGGGACCCCTCCTGCTAACATACACCCTGTCTTCCCTAGCTTCCAGGCCACCACCCTTCTTGGTGTCCCTTCTGTCTGACATGTTAGTTCTCCTTTCTGGATCCTTTTCTTTCCAGTCTCTTTCCACTTTTGTACAATAGGCCAGGAATCAGTCTTTCTGTCTTACTTGGTCCCACAGTGATGTCACCCAATTTTCTGATTTTTTAAAAATATTTTTTCTTTGTTGATAGATCTTTGTTTTTATGTGGTACTGAGAATTGAACTCACACATACCAGGCAGCGTGCTACTGCTGAGCCCCAGCCCCAGCCCCAGCCCCAACTTTCTGACTTTTGACATGGTTTGAATGCCTGTGTCCTTCCAAAATCCATAGTGCAACTTAATCCCAGTGCATCAGTACTCAGAGGTGAGGCTTTGAGGAGATGATGAGGCCATGAGGGCTCTGCCTTCATGGATGGGATTAAAAACCTCTGTAAAAGGGCTTGAAAGTGTTTGTTACCTTTTTTAATATGTATTTTTTATTCTAATCAGTTATACATGACAGCAGAATGCATTTTGACACATCATACATAAATGTTTGTTAATTTTTTAATTTTCTTCCAGGTGAGCGTGCAGCAAGAGGTGCCATGTTTGGAGACAGCAGACCCTCACCTGATATTGAATCTGCAGTAAATTGATCTTGGACTTTATTTTCAGTTTTTACTCTTTTTTTGCAGTGTTGGACAATGGAGCCCAGGTCTCACATATGATAGGGAAATGCTCTACCACTAAATTATATCCCCTGCTAAATATATTTCTATTATTTACAAACTACCAAGTCTAGGGTATTTTATTATACCAGCCCAAAAGGACTAAGAGCGTTACATACAATAAGTATACCAATGAATGCCAAATTTATCTTTTATTTTTCCATTAGGTACCTGGGATTAAACCCAGGGGTTCTTAATCACTGAGCCACATCCCCAGCTCTTTTTGATATTTTATTTTATTTATTTATTTATTTTTTTTTTAAAGAATGTAAAACATATTTATTTATTTATTTATTTTTTTAATTATTGGCAGACACAACATCTTTGTTGGTATGTGGTGCTGAGGATTGAACCCGGGCCGCACGCATGCCAGACAAGCGTGCTACCACTTGAGCCACATCCCCAGCCCTCTTTTTGATATTTTATTTAGAGACAGGGTCTCACTGAGTTGCTTAGGACCTCACTAAGTTGCTGAGGCTGGCTTTGAACTCACGATCCTCTTGCCTCAGCCTCCTGAGCTGCTGGGACTGCAGGCATGAGCCATGACACCTGGCTTGAATGACAAATTTATACCTCCAGATGGATATCTCTCTTATTTAGTCTATATTAATACTGTTTTGTAAACTTAACATATACTATAACTGACAAATAGAGTTTTATTTTGCTAAGCCACTGAGAACTCAGGGTTGCTTGTTAATGCAGCACAATCAGGACTACCCAACATACAGACTACTACTACCACTCATGTCCAAACACTATCACCTCCCACTCTGTGCTTCTGATCACTGCCTAGAGAACCTTCCTGCTTCCACTCTTGCCTCCTACAAGTTCAAGTTTCCAGCTGTAGAGCACCAGCCTGCTTTTCAAACATGCCAGACATGCTCTCAGCTCAGGGGCCTTTGCTCTGGATGTCCCCTCTGCCACACGTTCTTCCTATGTGCCTGCATGGCTCACTCCCTTTGGGACTGTCTGCTCATATGTCAGTTTCTCAGTGAGGATGACTCTGCTCCCTCATCAGATCCCCAGCTCTGGTGCTGGCCTGCTTGTCATCCCATTCTGACAACCCATCGGGTGGATTTTTTGGCTTCCTCGCTAAGCAAGTTTTGTTTTGGTCAATGTTGTAGAGCAGTTTCAGTGGGAGGTAGGGGTGAAGGCCTAGCTGGGTGGGTTGCCAGAAGACTTGAGTGGTAGGCAGGATGTCTTGAACATGTCATGTTCTCCTGCCTTCACCCTAGCATGTTATGTAGCATGGCTAAAGCGACTTTGCAGGTGTAATTAGATTAGTAATTAGTGTTCTTTTTTTAAAAAAATATTTTTCAGTTGTCAATGGATCTTTATTTTTATTTATATGTGATGCTGAGAATTGAACCCAGTGCCTCACACATGCTACGTAAGTGCTCTACCACTGAGCCACAACCCCAGCCCCATAATTACTGTTCTTAAAATAAGGAAATTATCATAGATCCTTTGCGTGGACCCAATCTAATCACAAGTTTTGTTTTTTTTAAAGAGAGAGAGAAAGAGACTTTTTAAAAATATTTATTTTTAGTTTTCGGTGGACACAACATCTTTATTTTTTATTTTTATGTGGTGCTGAGGATTGAACCCAGCGCCCTGTGAATGCCAGGTGAACGCACTACCGCTTGAGCCACATTCCCAGCCCTGCGAGTTCTTTTAAAAAAAAAAAATTTGTAGTTGTGTATGGATAGCTGTTGAGAGCCACAACCAAGTCAAGATGGCGCCTGGCATTTTGCCAGAAGGAGTGGTTGAGAAGTAACGCCAGAGAGCCATTAAGATGATGATAATTAAGTTAAGCTGTGTATAATTATTAAGATAATGACTGATTGCTGTAACTGGATGATGCTAAATTGAAACAAGCTGTGTATTCAGTTGTGTATATAAACCTCTGCTGTCCGGCAATAAGGCGGTTCCTGCTACCTCGGGTGCACGCTACTTTTGAGTTCTCGCGGAGTTCCCTTTGAGTTCTGGCAATAAAGTAGTTCCTGTTTGAATCTACAAGTGGCTTGTGACTTCCCGGTTATTTGTGCCCAGCCAGACTGCGGCAGACAGCATGCCTTTATTTTATTTATTTTTATGTAGTGCTGAGGATCAAACCCAGTGCCTCACACATGCTAGGCAAGGGCTCTGCCACTGAGCTACAGCCCCAACCCTAATCATTGCCACTGAGCTATAGCCTAAGCCCTAATTCTTAAGAGGAGAAACTTTGGGGCTGGGGTTGTGCCTCAGTGGTAGAGCACTTGCCTAGTACATTTGAGGCACTGAGTTTGATCCTCAGCACCACAGGAAAATAAACAATATACAGGTATTGTGTCAATCTACAACTAAAAGAAATATTTTAAAAAAGAGAGAATTTTCTTCAGCTGAAAGTGGGAGAAATGAGGTAGAAAGGATGGTTAGAGAGAGTCAAAATGTGAGGAGGACTTGCTGGGTTTTGACAGTGATTACAAACTGGATAATGCAGGTAGCCTCCAGGAACTGAGGACCCCTGGCTGACAGCACCTTACAGTCATGTGGAACTAAATTTTGAAAACAACTTAAATGAACCTACGGAGGACTCTCCCTCACAGCCCCTGGTAAAAGCTCTGGCCACGTGACGCCTTGACTTCAGCACTAAAACCTAGATCAGAGAAGCCACTGAACTTACCTGTACTTCTAACCCAGAGCCACATGATAACATATTTGCATTCTTTTAATTGTAGGACAAAATGCCTTTACTTTTAGGAAGTGCAAAGGATTGAACCCAGTGCCTCACATATGCTAGGTAAGCACTCTGAAAAGAAAACTTGTTCACTGTTTTTTTTTTTTTTAATTTTTTAGTTGCTGATAGACCTTTATTTTATTTATTTATATGTGATGCTGAGAATCAAACCCAGTGCCTCACACATGCCAGGCAAGTGTGCTACTGCTGAGCCCCAGCCCCAGCCCCTAGTTCACTGGTTTTTTATTTTTTAAGTTTTAGTTGTAGACGGACACAATACATTTATTTATTTGTTTTTATGTGGTGCTGAGAATTGAATCCAGTGCCTCACAAGTGCAGGCATGCACTCCACCACTAAGCTACAGCCCCAGCTTTTCATGTTTTGTTTTTTTTTTAATCTTTTTAAAGAAAGGGTCTTAGCTGGGCATGCCTGTAATCCCACTGGCTTGGGAGGCTGAGGCAGGAGGATAGTTAGTTCAAAGGCAGCCTCAGCAAAAGCAAAGCACTAAGCAACTCAGTGAGACCCTGTCTCTAAATACAATACAAAATAGGCTGGGGATGTGGCTCAGTGGTTGAGTGCCCCTGAGTTCAATCCCCAGGACCCCTCTTCCCCCAAAAAAGAAAGGGTCTTGCTAAGTTACCCAGTTTAGTCTTGAACTTGTGATCCTCCTGCCTCAGTCTCCCAAATTCTAAGTTTGCTGATTTTCTAGACAGGAAGACAACCATACACAACTCCCAAGAACTAGGAAAGGATGGCAGTGGCTGGGGGGTGGACATGAGGTCAAGGGTTGTGTGTGCATGTGGTGCTGAGGATTGAATCAAAGCCTTATGCATTCTAAGCAAGTGATCTACCTCTGAGCAACACCTCCAGCCCTTTTCATTTTGAGACAGAGTCTCCGTTGCCCAGATTGGCCTCAGTTGCCATTCTTCTGCCTCACTGCTCCCAGCAAGTGTTTCTTTCTTTCCTTCTTCCCCCCCACCCCCGTCTGGTGCTGGGGATTGAACACAGGGCCTTGTGCAAGCACTTTACCAACTGAGCTACTTCCCCAGCCCAAGAGTGTTTTTTTTTTTTTTTTTTTTAAGTGTTGCTGACAGAAGACAGAGGTAACACTGTGACTTGCCCCTCACAGGACTCATGACAACTGGCTTACCCCAAGTCAGCTGCATGGCACAAGTCATCTTTACTACCTGCAGGTGTTCATGGCTGCAAGCCATGCAGTGACCTTCCAAGCCTACAACCTGTGGGCAACAGGATAGGGGTTTAGCTCCCCTGAGGATGACCCCTATACAGCCTGACACAGAAACCATACTGATAGTACCCCCTTCCTCGCCTCATGTCCCCACCCTAACTAGTGTTTTCTGCTGTCCCCTCTCAGCTACATGGACTTGAATCCCTGTTTCAACTCAACTTCTGGGGGAAACCTGCACTAAGTGTGTCTACTGCCCACGGAGCACCCACAGAGCCCCACCTTGGACAGCGAACCTTTTCCTAGGAAGCTCTTTTTCTTAATCTTACACCTTCCCAACGGAGAGATTGGTAGAGCCCCTAGGCCCAGCCTGATCCCAGATGCCTCTCTTGGCAAGTTTCAGGAGTCCACAGATAGGCCTTCTGGCTTCACTCACTAAAGCCCTTTGCAGACATTCTCTTGATAATTTAACCCCCAAACAGAACCTGGCCTGCCAAAAACAGGCTGACCCTCAGGTGCCTGGGGTCATCTTGAAGCAGGGTGGAGCCCATCCATAGGCAAAAGGCCTTGCTCCCAAGGGTCAGGCTACGGGGGCTACAGACATAAGATCGGCCAGACATAAGATCACCATTGCCTCCAGTGTCCCCAATAGGTGTCAGCCTTTCCAGGGGACCTAACAGGCCTTACAGACCTAGGACGCACTAGGTCTGGCCCCGCCAAGTCATCCTGAGCTGTTTCTGGAGGCGCAGCCCCGAGGTGAGGAAGTATAGCCTGGGATGCCAACGTAGCTGTGCTGGGAGCTCCGCCGCAGTCTTGCAGGCGGGAGGGCGAGTTGAGTTCGGGTGGGCGGGCCCGGCGCAGGCAGATGATCCAGGCCGTCCTGCGGGGCCTGGAGAAGGACCGGAGCAGGTTGTGGGGACCGCGAGCTAGCGGAAAGCAGCTGTGCCGCAATCGGGGCCACAGCCCCACGGGCAGGCCCCCGCCACCACCGCGCGCACAAAGCTTCCCGCGAAACTGACGTCGTGCCGGCCCGC